GATTCCCTCTGGGGAAGCAAAAGATACTGTTTCTCTTGGGACTCAAAATGCTTGACCACTTTATTTCTAATTTCTTCAAAACAAACCAACTACTGTCTGAAACCTGGATTCATGACAGGAAATTTGAAGGAAGACGGTACCCAGATAACCCATATTTATATGTATAGTTAAACAATTCAGAGTGAGACTATGCTACATTTAAACTAGTTTACAAGGCTTTTCACCATTCATGCTATGTTTACAGAACAGAGTGCCATAGTTAAATGCCATTCTGTCTTCCTTGTAACACAGTGCCACTGTGCATCCCCAACCAACCCAACAAGATAAATTTGCAGCTATGGAAAAAATGTCATTTTTCCTATGTCAACAATTTATACTGATAGCATCATATTTTATGCATTACTTTCCTACATTATAGTGTGTAGCACCGTATGAGATATGCAGAAGGAAAGTTAAATCTGCCTTTAAGGTTTAGAGAAACTGTTTTGTAAAAGATCTGGACCCCTATTTTCACATTTTCCTTTAAATTTATTTAAACTTGCAGAATATCAAATTCAATAAAATAACATATTTCTTTTATTTTTTGACTCCAAATTTCCAGGATAATATAATACAATATAATATAAATATTGGCAATTCCAAGAATGAAAGCACTGTATACCCATTTAAAATGCTATAAATCAAAAACGGAAAGGCAAGCATATCCAGTGAAGATCAATCCGGTGAATTTAGTTCACATAAGGACTAAATCACATATCTAAGTCTTGAGGCTAAATCATTAGAATCTGCCAGTTGTGCTAGATCAGTAGTGAGCCATCTGGCTTATTCTGTTCAGATCAATCTAATAAGTGTTATTCCAAGTTTTTGATATTTCCACAGCTCATATGTAATAAGACTACTGGCAGTGAGCCTGCGTCAAAACCTATTTTCTAGGGAGATATATTATTTGATTTTTGTTTATTTTCCATAGTAAATCAAAATTTGAATGCTTCTTCAAAAAAAGAGAATTTTGCTGTACTGGGAAGATGATGGTCTCCAATGTTTAAGTGTAGCTTTTCCTGTATGTATTACACTGACTGTTTTCTCCCTCCACCAGTTTTGGGGGTGAAACATCAAAACAACAACTCTCCCTCCCTCAGCCCCCTCCCCAATTCCCTTCCTCTTTTCCAATTTGTGGCAAAAGGAAGATGTTTAGAACATACTCTGCCCATCCCCAGTGTGTGCCCTGGTTGCTGTGGGAAAAGAAAGCACCACTACCACCACCACCACCGTGTCCTGTCTCTTCCTTTGCCACACGCTGCTGTGTGGCTGCCCCACTTCACCCTTTCTCATGCCTCTCCTAACCTCACAAAGTTTAAGGCCAGCTGAGGCTGCAGCTGCTGGCTGCTCCTTCCCTTGAACAATGCTTAAGCAGAAAAGCAGATGCAAGTTTAAAAGTTGAAATTTAAAAAATAAAACCATGGGCACAATATTTAAACTAACACTGAAACCTTTATATGTTATAATTCTCCTGTTATATAACATTCCACTGAGCATGTGCGCGCGCACACACACACACACACACACACACACACACACACACACACACACCTTCTCTCAAATAGAGGGGAAGCCTCCTGACAGCAATACGCCAGAACAAGGATTCTCCAACAGAACTGCAACAGGATCACCTGGAGGACTTGGTATAGGTCCCACTGCTGGGCCGCAAGCCCAAACAGTCTGGGAAGGTCTGCAGATCTGGGAAGAGACCTTAGATTTGCATTTGCAGCAAATTCCCAGGTGATGCAATGCTCTAACAGACTTGAAGAACTACTCGTCAGGCACAGAAAACTGCCAAAGAGAAAGCTCGGAAAAAGTACAGTTCCAGTGAACATCACCTCCGCTGCTGCACGGCTCAAGCAAAAGTTTAGTTCTCTGTTAGCTCTAATACAGGGAAGCAGCATGGTAGGTATTAATACAGGAAAGCAATTTTTGAACACAGCAGCTGATTGAGTGATTTCACTTCATGCTGGCCCTGCAAGACAGTTAGAGAGAAAGTATGAAGAAATGGAAAGTGAAATTATGGAAGTAAATATGGCTATCTTTTAGCCAATTAGCTCTTTAGATTCTCATTCGCATCTTGGCTGCATTTCCACTTTCTGTCTTAAACTGCCCACAGCATTTTGCAATTGGCACTGAAATCAGAAAGATTTTGGTTTAGATCCTGCTTTATTTGCTGAGTGTCTACCTGTGTTACTAAGCTTTCTATCACTGTGACAAATACCTGAGATGAAGTAACTTACAAAGAGAGGCTGATTTTGGTTCACGGAGGTTTCAGGGCATGACTGATGGCACTGAAAATCCACTGATCCTACACAGTAAGTGCTAGCTTTTATCATAAATGTTCGTGTTGCTTGGCTTTCCCATGGGACTATTCAATATAATAAACAGCATATTACCTATTTAATAGTCACTGGAACAATAATTCTAGATAAAGAAATACTGTAGAGTAGCTACTACGTGTTAAATATATAACCCTATCCAAATATATTGAAATGCCTTGTAAAGAAAAAGTTTGATATGAGTATTATTTTCATTTGGAAAATTCTGACTTTATATGAATTTACATTTAAGAAAAATATTTGTTTCCATAGTTAACTATGATATCTTAACTAAAGATATAAAGAGGATGTGTTTACTAACCACAAATTTTGTTTGTATAGACACTAAAATGGTAGAATATAGAAAAAAAGAAAGGAAACAATTCTGCAGATACTATGACCTTGCATCATTCAGGGCATATTTTAAACCACCCTAAGAAACAAATGCCCACTTTTCCCAAAAATCATTATTTTATTTATGTGACAAAAGAACAAATTTGGCCAAAGATATTTTATTTTGAGTGTGCACTGACATTATTTTTAACCAACTGTGTCACTCAGAAACTTAATGATCAGTTAGTAATGAACAGGAGCAGAGTTGCTTTTTTGGTTGGTCTTTGTAGACCTCAGGTAAATATTACCAATTCACTCTTTTATCAAATAGCCACCCAAGTGTATCAGGCCCCACTTTTCAAGATGTACAGTGAAAAAGAAAATGTGACATGCATTGAAGTGTCTTGGTTTTACTCTATATGGTACCTGTCTGTGTTCCTTCCTTCCCTTAGGTTTCTCCTTCCCTCCAAATGTTATTATAACCTCAGAATTTTAGCTGCCTGGTGGAGGTTTTAGAGCTATCTAGTTCGTTTCCCAATTTTGCCATGAAAAACAAATGCCACAAAGTTTGAGTATCTTGCCCAAAGCCAGCTTGACAGGATACAGATGTCTCCCACCCCATCTCACATACATTTCCCTTGATCACTGGCCTTTATTTTTGTTCAAGCAGAGCACCTGCAAAAAATTATTTACCAAGATGGGCATATCCACGTCATCCCACCACTCAGGAGGCTGAAGCAGGAGGATATCTGTGAGTTATGGGCCAGGGTGGACTACATAGAGAGATACTGTCTCAAAAGAAAAAAAAATTATCAGGTTTTATGGATAAAGACCCCTGAGTTTCAACATTTGTATCCCAGTGCTAATTAAATGATTTGTTAATGATGACAAGTTATATTTGGGGTTGTAGCAGGCCTGAAAGCTGAGAACGCTGGAGTTCAAAATACGGAAATCAGGAAAGAAGAAGGAGATTTGTCTCCCTTACCCCAAATATTTGGTTCTATAAAACCAAATATTAAAGATTATACTTTGGTTATGGGCAATATTTTCCTTTAATTTTCCCTAAAATATCTTACAGAACCATAGTGTCCAAAGCTTTTTATTAAAATGTAAGTAAAAATAAAGTTTAAAATCTGAGCTCTTCTACGTGGAAAAATGATACATTATTTTATCTGTGTCTCTATTTCCAAAAGGTCGAACATATCTGTCACTTTGCTGATGTGGTTGGTTTGTTTGTTCTTCTCAAAAGGGCTGCTTCCTAAACTTGTAGCTTCTATGATGAAAGGACATTTCGGGTAAATATGACAAATCTGCAGCCACCCTGGGTCATTTGGACCATCCTGTTTGCAGCACTCTGGTGTAGCTTTTCTGTACCTGCTCTCCTCTGCAGAGGTTGGAATTTTGCCATTATGCTCAGGTTTATCACCTCACAAGTTCTAAGAAACTGGAGCTCTCCCAGCTTCTCTCCAAACCCCTGCACGACCTCTTCTGGCCGCAGACTGGTGAGAGATTTGCATCCTCCCTTAGCCAACAGTCTCTCTTTTTTTCAACCGTTACAACCTCTTGTTTATCTCTGCTACACATAGGCAGCCTTGCTCTCAACAAAACAATGGCAAACCAAGGGAAAAAGTTCGGAGCCTAGACGCACACAGCGCCGAGGATCACCAGATCACAAGAGGCAACTCTGCTGCTCAGGATGACTGGAATTCTCAGGGAGCCCCAGACCCCTGGGCGCAGCCTGCTCTCCAGTCACCGTCGCTGCGGCCGGCAGTGTAGGCAGGCGCTATCAAGGCACAAACCAGCCCGGGACAGCAGGTAGATTTCCCTTGGTCGGGGATTTACGAGTCAGAATTTGTAGAACTGATCCGGAGGAAGATGCGCTAAACCCTTCTGCACGCTCAGAGCGCGGGACCGGACCGGACGGTAGTTACTAGCAATGGCATGGAGAGGACTGTCCCTTCCCTCTGCTTTCCCCGCACCTCCAGGCCAGAACGTTCACCCACACGCACTCACAAACACACGCGCATCAAAATGGGGTGGCAGAGCAGGGGCAGGTATGCGACGCACCGCCCCGAGGTACCTGCCTGGCCCGGTAAACCCGCGACACCCGGATCGCGAACAGCCAAAGGCGCTGAAGAAGGCGCTGCCCAAATGTCCCGCCACACCGATAGACGTCGCGACATCACACCTGGGGCGGGCGCCTCGGGGCGGCGGCGGCAGCACCCAAAGTGTGCGGTGCACCCCCTCTTTCCTTGGGCACAACTTTGCACAGCCCGCGCCGCGCTCACGCTTGCTGCCGGTCCTTACCCAAATACTGTCGCAGGTCCAGGAGGAAGCGAGGGGGTCCCCCGCTGAGCTGGTAGAAGAGGGAGCCCAAGCAGAAGACCAGCAAGGTGGCCATGCAGAAACCGTAGTCCCGGAGGGAGAAGCGCAGGAGGGGCAGCAGGGAGACCCGGCGCCTCCAACCGCCCAGGCCCGCCGGGGCGACCCCGGCCGGGGCCGCATGGGGCCAGGAATCCGCGCCGCCGCCGGGATGCTGCTGCTGCTTCTTCTTCATCGCCTGCTCCGCCGCCTCGCACAGCCGGCCGAGGCCAGGAAGAGGTCACCCTCCGCCGCGAGGGGAGCGCGGCCGGCCGGCTGCACATGGGGAGAGAGGGCCGCGCCGAGGGCAGCCCGTGGGGGCGGGGAGGCCCGGGCTGCGCTCAGGAGACTTCGCCCGGCATGGTCCCCGCCGCTCCGCGCCCGCCAGCGCCCCCGCGCCCCGCCACGCCCCGCGCTCGTCCCAGCGCCAGCGCGCACCCACGGCTTTGTGCGCGTCCCTCTCGCCGCGCAGTGTCCCGGCTCCGGCTCCTCTGGAAAAAAAACGGCAGAGAGGAACAGGAGGCGGACACAGTCCCCTCGCTCCACCTCCTGGACAGGGGTTTTCCTCCTCCTTCTCCTCGTCCTCCTCCCCTTTCTTCCTCCGGCGCTCCGCAGCCCTCTCCGCGCTGCGCCCTCCCTCGGCCCGCGCCTGTCCCCGAGACTGGAGTCTCGCTCGGGTGTCATGTTACCGCCTGGGGGGGGGGGGCGATTATCCGCAGCAAGGAAGAAAGTTTCTGGGGTGTTTTTTTTTCCTTCTTCTTCTTCCTTCCCCGTTTCTCTACCCTGTGGCCTCGGTTTCTGCGCCACCAGCGACCTCTTGGGGCCCTGCCTTCCTCTCGTCCACAGCCGCCGACTGAGTTCGCTCAAAACAGTATTTGTGTTCTCATTTCAGAAACTTGGTTACCCTGTGTAGCCCAAGCGAGCTGTTTACAAAAGGCTGATAGAGGGTGCTAAGGATAGTAGGTTCAAGACCTCGCTGAAAGTGGGGGAGATGTAGGAGTGAACGTGCTTCGCAGGGCCCGGCTCTGCGCCCCCACGCTCTGGGAGAAAGCAGGGGACATGGTCTCCTTCCCGGTCCTTAGCTGCGTGGAGCGAGTGGGGAGGCGGTGGGTGGAGTACGCGGCCAGCTCTGAGTTATTTCTGTAGCAGATAGGAAGGTGAAAGAGTCCTGTCCGCGTGCATACCTACTTCATCGCTGCCTCTCTTCTCTCCTGGGCAAATTTCTTAAACTGCGACCGCAGATACACATCCATGGATGGATCCGGTTCTCCCCAAAGGGCTGCTTTCATCAGCCACTATGTAAGTAACAAAAGCTATGTCACCTGAGGCTTCTGCGACTTGCCCAGGGTCACAGAGCTGGCAGAAGTCAGATTGAGGTGTGCAGTTTGAAGCCCTGGCCCACTACCATAACCACTGCAAGGTGCTGTCTCCTAGCCAGGGCCCCCCTCAGCGTTTACATGGCGACTGGGAGATGCTTTCCAACGCTGAGAAACTGCAACCTCAGTCTCTGTTTTCTCTGGCTGCCAACTTGGTCTGCATTTTCCAGTAACAAACAACCTGGTTAAAGAAACAGGAACCAAAAACCTCTAATTCCAAGTCCAAGTTCTAAAAACGTGCCTACCAAGTTAGGTATCTATGGAAGGTTGGAGAATAAGATCCTGAGATCAAGAATTTACAAGTAAAGAGCAGTCTGGCTTAACTATAACCCACTCAAATGAGATCTGCATTTCTTGATTTGGAACATGGGTGAAGAAGACATATAGGTCATTGGCTAGATGTGGACATCAACAGGGTGAGTGGCGCTGCACACGCCCACACTCAGAAGTGTGGTCTTGGGGCTAGGGATTTAGCTCAGCAGCATAAGCGCCTGCCTTGCAAGCGGGCAGTCGTGAGTTCAATCCCTGATACCGATAAAAACGAAAAAGACAAAAAAAAAAAAAAAAAAAAAAAAGAAAGAAAGAAAGAAAGAAATGTGGTCTTGAAAGCTGCTGAGGTTGTTTACCTGCTCGCCTTTCTAAGGGATAGAAAGGCCTCTTTGGGGCCCCTGTCACAGAACATCATGAATAGCATTAATGATTCCACGTATATTTCCTGAATCAGAGATTTATCTGGATTAATGCACACATTTTAGAAATTTGAGCTGCCCTGAGAGAATTCAGCCGATCAGTCATTGCCCATTAACGCGAATTACTTTAATTAGTGCAGTGAGGAGACCAGAACAGACCCCCAATTAATACTTTCTGAGTTTATGAAGAGGGACAAGGCTCTGGGAGGCACCAATTTTCATCGTATTTTAGAGACCACCTTTGACACTCTGTTTCTGAGACCAGGCCCTGTTATCTGAATGCTCACACGGTGAAGGAAAAAAAGTACAGATACGCGAGACCTTCTGTGCTCAGGGACACTCCCAAGACACTCATCTCAGCACTCAGCATACTTCGGGAAACGCCCCATTCTTTCTCCTAAGGAGAGAAATTTGAGGAATGGGCTGGGGGGAGCTGGAACAGGAAAAAAGGAAACAAACATCTGATAATATAAATAAATATGGAATAAAAGTTTAAAACACTGTAACAAATGCAAGGGCCAGCTCCGAAGAAGCAAGCTGTGACCCAGAGAATTTTAACGGGGGGGGGGGGGTGTCAATTTTTAAAAGATTGTGTTATTAGATTAGTTGCCTAGAAAAACCGCACAGACGGAAAAAGAGAAGATATCAAGATACAAAGAAATTTCACGTAAGGGGAAAAAATGCTTTGAATTTTCACCCAGCCCAAACAGATGCCTGGGCAAAATTTTGTTTCTTAAAGCTCCATAAATGTCCTTTTTATTTTTCAATTTAAAATATATATACTAATAAGTGGAACTAGATAATAAATTTTGGAGTTATAGGAATTTGTGAACAACTTTCATCATTTGCCTTATCATTTAATATGTTTTATGTAATATGACCTCCGTCCCGTAACTTAGATGTCCCAGTTCCTTCTCTTTCCAGTGACTTTTCCCCTTTCTCACCCAAGCCACTGTCTCCTGTCCTCAGGGACTCTTTGACCTGGCCTCACTGAGGACAAACCACATGTCCTCCAAAGTCTCCTTTGCAACCATCAAATCCTTTGACCATTTTCGTCTTGTACTCTCCCCCTTAGCTTTTCTAAGACTCTAGCAACTTTTCACTCTTTTCAAGTATCTTCAATTCTTTCATCTTTCTAATGTGTTGGCTTCCTTCCTTATCGAGTTTTGACTCCAGATACATCATTCTGATCTCTTCTCCTATTCATCCCTTCATTTCTATCTTACACCCTTGAGTATCTGCCTGGTGAAATTTAGTCTCTGTTAAACCCAACTCCGGAACCAGCCTGGATCATAGAAAAACACATAGCACTGCCAGTTGGCTTCCCTTTAAAGGTTACATTTATCCTTGCCTGGAAATCCCGCTCTCTAAAGTGACTATTTCACAGCTTTTCTCTTTCCTCTCCACCCTTGACGTTTATCCCTGCAGTCTCCACTGCTGACCTTGCCTCATAGATATTGAGGAACACAAGCTGAAGGAGCCCTCTCTCCGTCAGCCTGTGCTCAGGCTTTCTGCCTCGTTTTCCAGATTCAGTGCATCCTTGCTTCAGTCAAAGATAACTCAGTTACCACTCAGCCCTTCTCAGTTAGGCACCGGACCTTGTTTCTATCCAGTGCCAGCCTCATGCCCAGCCACCCTAGCTTTCGGCATCTCCGTCAACAATGGCACTGTCAAGCCACTTGGATCTCCAACTTGACAGTCTTTCTTCATTTTCTTTTGCCTTCATTTCTGTGTCTAAACTACCTGCAAATTCTATAGGCCTTACCTTTAAAAACAACAGAATCTGATCACTTTTGACACCATCTTCTCTCACCTGGGTTGTTGCTGTCAGTTGCATTTAGATTTGCCTATTATAGCTAAAAAAAAAACTGGAAATGTCAATGGCTTAAGCCACTGAATGTTTGTTTCTCTGTCATGTGAACAGAGTCCACAGACAGGCAATCCAGATTTGCCATGGTATTGCCAATGCTATCATCAGAGACCTGCCTGAGTTTTCTGTTCCACTATCGTCAGCAAGTGGCTTCCATTCTACAAGTGGTTTTATGATCCATCAAGTTTATGTTCCTCATGGGCGTAGAGAGAACTTAAAGATCCTCTCTAAACACAGTATGTTCTCTGTAAGCTGTGTTATGAAAAGTACTAAAAATCTGTCTTATATTTTTACTGGCCAGAATTATATCTAGTTAAAATGGGGAAAGGAAGGTAGGAAATACAGATTTTAGCTGCCATTAAAAAAAAGTTCAAGAGTGAGAGAAGAAAAAAAGGAAGAGGAAGAGGAGACAGAAGAAAAAGAAGAGGGGAAGGGGAGAAAGAGGAAGAAAAAAGAAAATCAGGATTCTATTACTGGAAGGAAAAGAAAGAAGCCAAGGTATCCACGAGTCTCTGTTTTTTCTCCTAATTCATCTCCTTAGTTACAGCCTCCCCAGCCCTCACTCTTAGAATTAGGATGGAACACAGAGGTGTTCTACCATGGAGCTACAGCCCCAGTCATTTTTTGAAATATTTGTTTTATTAGTACATATTTTTGGTATGTACATATTGCTTACATTCACTGTGTAGAATAACGCAGTGTAGTATTGTGGTTTAGATCTAAAATCTGCCCTGCCCCAAGTCTCCTGTGTTCAGAGATGGAGCCTGGTTGGGAGGGGTGGCTCATGGTGGGGAAGGGGAGTATGACCTTGAAGAGTGACCTTCAAGCCTGACTCTTCCCCTCTGATCCTCTCTCTGCTTCCTGGGTACCACAGAGTGAACAGCTGACCTCTGCCAAGTCCCGCCACCATGCCCTTTCTGTCGTGGACCTAGTCAGTCATAGACTGAATCTTCTGAAAACTTAGAGCTAAAAGAAACCTCATCTCCTTGAATTTGGAGGCATTGAGTATTTTGTCCTAGAGACAGGAAAGTGAGTCATACAAGTAGTATATAATTAAATACCACATTGTTTGTTACACACTATAAATACTGAAGTCATTCAAATCTTTAGAGTTGCTAACTTATTTATAAAAGAATATTTTTTCCTCAATTAAAAAAGTGTTTAAAACTTTTGCCTTTTAGGAATGGAGGTGATGTTTGTTTGCTTCTTTGTTTGTTTTGGGTTTTTTTGGTTTTGGTACCAGGGATCAAACTCACAACCTCGCACTTGCCAAACAGGTACTTATGGCACTGAATTAAACTCCCGCCCCTAGTGGTGACTTTTAAAGATTTTATTCTGTGTTGCTCTGCCTGAACTCAAATTTTGAGGTGAAACAATCCTCCTGCCTCAGCCTCCTGGGTACTGGAACCATAAATATGCATTCCCCAGTTAAAAACTATTTTGAATAAAGTAAATGATGAGATAGATAATTATTTTCAACCTGAATTGGAATGATTCTGAAGTCATGATAAATATCTGCTTGTGTGACTGGGTAAATGCATTGTATAGCTCCAGTGAAGCAAAATGTCAGACTTCAGGGTCAAGAGAAGTCTGGGAAAATGGTAACCCCAACAACCTCTACAGATAGGATTCTAGTAACTCACTGAAGAAATCTTTTTGCCAGATGAGGTTCATGTAATAGAGTAT